GGGGGAAGGAAGAGGAGGAGGAGGAGGAAGGAAGAGGAAGAGGAGGGGGAAGGAAGAGGAGGGGAAGGAAGAGGAGGAGGAGGAAGGAAGGAAGGAAGGAAGGAAGGAAGGAAGAGGAAGAAGGAAGAGGGGGAGGAAGGAAGAAGAAGAGGAGGAAGGGAAAGGAGGAAGAGGAAGGGGAGGGAAGAGGTTGGGGCGGAAGAGGAAGAAGAAGAAGAGAAAGAAGAAGGGAGGCGGATAGGAGGATAGGAAGGGAGGGGGTAGAGGGTCTGAAAGTGAGGGAGGGGGAGGGGGGAGGGGGATCTTTATCAAATCTCCGAGCGGTTCGTAAGCTTACCGGCACAACAGCTGATTGATCGGACCACCGCGGCAAGTTTTAATTAAGCCACGGAAAGAGAGAGAGAGAGAGAGAGAGAGAGAGAGAGAGAGAGAGAGAGAGAGAGAGAGAGAGAGAGAGAGAGAGACAGAAAACTTTGGAATAGGAACAGGGCGAGGGAGAGAGAGGAGGAAGGAAGGAGGAGGAAGAAGGAGGAAGGAAGGAAGGCAGGCAGGAAGGAAGGAAGGAAGGAAGGAAGGAAGGAAGGAAAGAAGGAAGGACAAGGAAGGAGAAGGGAGAAAGAAGGAAGAGGAGGGGCAAGTAATGGGGATAGAGGCGGAAGTAGTGGAAAGTGAGAAAGAGAAAAAGAAAAGGAGAGGAAGTATCACCAAAACGAACTGTTTTCTTAGGCCTATGAAAAGCAGTCACCTAAATGCGCCACCATCCTTAACCCTCCCCCACCTCACCCCCTTAACCTCCCTTCCCCCACCCCCTTCCCCTTCCTCAGTCCCTTTCCTCTTCCCCCACCACTCCCCTCCCCTTCCCCCCCACCCTCTTCCCCCCACCCTATTACCTCTTCCCTCACCCCCTTCCCCTTTTCCCCTTCCCCCACCTCTTCCCTCACCCCTTCCCCCTTCCCCCTTCCCCCCACCTTCTTCCCCCACCCTATTACCTCTTCCCTACCCCCTCCCCCCCTTCCCCCTTTCTCCTCCCCCCACCCTAAGAGAAGATGGTCGTGGAGATAGCATCCCTCGACAAAGGCAGTAACAAGAAAAGTAATCACAACTATGGTCGTGATACATAGGATAAAAATCTCTTGATAGTCGACTTCGTAAATAAAAAAGAAAGAGAGAAAAAGAGAGAGAGAGAGGGAGAGAGAGAGAGAGAGAGAGAGAGAGAGAGAGAGAGAGAGAGAGAGAGAGAGAGAGAGAGAGAGAGAGAGAGAGAGAGAGAGAGAGAGAGAGAGAGAAAAGAGAGAGAGAAAAGAGAGAGAGAGAGAGAAAGGGAGAGAAAGAGAGAATGGCAAAACAAAAAAAGAGAAAGAAAGGGAGAGAAAGAGAAAATAGTAAAACAAAAGAGAGAAAGAGTGAGACGTTGAGAGAGGCGATTGAACATGAACATTTGCATGAACATTTCCATCGCGTGGGAAAAGTTGAACAGAAGTCGGTGTTCTATACACTGTTTAGGGAGGAGATAAAATAAAAGTTAAAATAGGGTGTGATGGTATGTGCGTTTGAGGGGGACGGGGGATGGTGTGTGTGTGTGTGTGTGTGTGTGTGTGTGTGTGTGTGTGTGTGTGTGTGTGTGTGTGTGTGTGTGTGTGTGTGTGTGCGCGTGCGTGTGTGTAAGTTTGTCTGTGTATATATGCCGGTGTGTACGTACCAGTGTGTATGTCCACGCGTGTATGTACCTGTGTGCATGTGTACACGTGTTTGTATATGGGAGGAGTTGGAATAACCGTAGAAATGCAAGCCGCGCGTTGGCACTGACACTGGCACCTTTCGTGGTATCATTGGGCACTTTACCTTCGTCATGACGAGGTGCTTGTCAGTTTTAAGTCCGAATTTTGCGACAAATTGAACATTCTGACTTTTATTTACTGCCCGTTCACCCCCCCCTTCCCTCACCCCAACCCCTCACTCTGATACCCACTTTTTTCACCCCCAATGAAGGTTACCCACCCCACCCCACCCCACACCCCCTTATCACTGTAAAATGAAAATAGAAGGAATGGGAGAAAAGGGAAGGGGGGGGGGGAGGAGAAGAAAGCGTCTTGTTAAGAACTTCACGTTAGAAAAATAGCGAGGACGAGGATTAAAGATTGGGAAAGAAAAGGAAAATACGTGTTAATTAAAGTTCATGAAGTGATCGCGGTTTCTAACGCTAAGGGGGGGAGGGGGGAGGGGCGGGGGTAGATGAGGAGGCGAGGGTAAGGGAAGGGGGGGGGGTGCGAAGGCAAACAAAAAACAAAGTCGATCTGGAAGGCGATTCGACCGAAAGAGAGTGAAAGGTGTTGGGAGACGAAAAAAAAGGGAGAATTCGTGATATATAAAAGGGAATTGGAATCATACGATGGATAATGAACTTGCTGCGAAAAGGGAAGACAAAAAAAAGCAATAACAAATGGGGAAGAGAGGGGAGTAAACAAAAAAAAATCAAGAAGAAGGGTTGACGGCGAGAAGAAATTGTATTTTTGTCCTATTTGTTTATTTGTTTATTTGTTTATTTATTTGTTTATTTATTTGTTCCTCAATTTGCTCTTGTGGGGAGAAGGGGAACTGTGCATCTGTGTCCTTCTGTGACACGTCGGTTCAGTCGGAAGTTTCTTAGTCGACGTGTGGAGAGGGAAGGGGAGGGAGAGGGGGAGGGAGAGGGGAGGGAAGGGAGAGGGAGAGGGAGAGGGAGAGGGAGAGGGAGAGGGAGAGGGAAACTGAAACTGAGACTTGAGATGGAAAGGGAGTGGAAGAGGAAGAGGGAGTGGAAGAGGAAGAGGGAGAAGGAGAGGGAGAGAAAGTGGAAGAGGAAGAGGGTGAGGGAATGGAAATGGGAATGGGAATGGGAGAGGAAGAGGGAATGGGAGAAAGAGGGAAGGAGGCAAGGAAAAAGAGAAAGAAAAGAAGGAGGAGGGAAAGAGAAGGAGAGAGAGAGAAGAAAATTTAAAAAAGGAACACATCTCTGAATTACATATATATATATATATATATATATATATATATATATATATATATATATATATATATATATATATATATATATATATCTTTCAGTCAGAGCAGTGGTTGTCATAAGCATTTATATATCTCACCACCTGGCTTAAATGCTCTTATGCAAATCTGCAAATGCAAGGCTCACAAATGCAAGGCGGCAATATGTGCAAGATGGCGGACCCATGTTCCCTTGTAACTGCATGCTCGAGTACCCACAGAGCCGGAAGTTGTACCCGGAATACATGGGTGTACGTCCACCTGGCGAGGGGAACTTGAGGGGAACTTGAGGGGAACTCGATTATTGTGAACTTCTCCTGTGCCCCTTTCGGTCATTCTCTCTCTCTCTCTCTGCGTGTTTCTTTTTTTTTCTCTTTGTTTTCGTCTGTGTCATTTTCTCTTTCTTTGTCTTTTCTTTGTTATGTGTCTGTTTCTGTCTCTGTCTTTCTTTGTCTCTCTGTCTGTCTGTCTGTCTGTCTCTCTCTCTCTCTGCGTGTTTCTTTTTTTTTCTCTTTGTTTTCGTCTGTGTCCTTTTCTCTTTCTTTGTCTTTTCTTTGTTATGTGTCTGTTTCTGTCTCTGTCTTTCTTTGTCTCTCTGTCTGTCTCTCTCTCTCTCTCTCTCTCTCTCTCTCTCTCTCTCTCTCTCTCTCTCTCTCTCTCTCTCTCTCTCTCTCTCTCTCTCTCTCTCTCTCTCTCTCTTTCCATATCTATCTATCTATCTATCTATCTCTATCTCTATCTCTATCTCTATCTCTGTTTCTGTCTTTTCTATCCATGCGCGTTCTCGTACCCTTCATATTATTCCGTTTATTGGGTAGAATATTATTTACATATATTTTTATTCCTCGGTTTTGGGCGAAAATAGTCCTATCCAACAGCGGTCAGTAACTTAAAAAAAAAAAAAAATCACGGATATATTGGTTGTTAACTGAGCAACGAGATGGAAAGGGAAATTTCGTTTCATTTTTTTTTTTACGCCTGTTCCCTTTCTCTCTCGTATTTCCCCTATTTCCTTATATTCTGTCTTCTTTTATATCCATTCTACCCCTTTAGATGTCCTCCTCCTCCCCTCATTTTCCATCGTCTTCCCTTTTCCTTCTTCCATTTCCTTATATTCCTCCCTTTTACCCAAACTCCTTATAATTTAGTGAGATTTTTTTATGTTCTGTTTATTGTTTCTTTCTCTCTCTCTCTCTCTCTCTCTCTCTCTCTCTCTCTCTCTCTCTCTCTCTCTCTCTCTCTCTCTCTCTCTCTCTCTCTCTCTCTTTCTCTCTTTCTCTCTTTCTCTCTTTCTCTCTTTCTCTCTTTCTCTCTTTCTCTCTTTCTCTCTTTCTCTCTTTCTCTCTTTCTCTCTTTCTCTCTTTCTCTCTTTCTCTCTTTCTCTCTTTCTCTCTTTCTCTCTTTCTCTCTTTCTCTCTTTCTCTCTTTCTCTCTTTCTCTCTTTCTCTCTTTCTCTCTTTCTCTCTTTCTCTCTTTCTCTCTTTCTCTCTTTCTCTCTCTCTCTCTCTCTTATCCATTTTCTTTTTGACAGAATTGGGAGGTATCACGAAAGTGTTCGATTAGAACTATCTCATTTGAGTATTTTGTTTGTACATTTAAGTTAATCGTTATTGGAAAAATTTGATGGTCAGTTTTAACTTGCTTGAGTTGTGTGGCATGTTATCATTATTATTAGTATTATTAATATGATTAGTGGTATTATGTATGATATTTTTTTTTATTTTTATGTTTGTGTGTTTGTTTCAAAACCAGTGTATACCGTGAGCGTATCTGGTGTGAGTGCCATTGTGAGTTGAGTGTTTATGAGTGCCTGGGAGTGCCCGTTAGAGTGATAGCATGCGAGTGCCAGTGCAAGTGCCAACCTGCGAGTGCCAGTCTCAGTGTGTTGTTGTGCGATTGCGTCAAAGGCATCCGGACAGGTGCTTATAGAGTCCCTGGCCGAGCCGGCCCTTGATAACCTGGCGCTGCTGTACCCTCAGGTGGAGTGCAAGAAGGCCCAGCCGAAGGAAGTAATGCTGCCGACGAGTGTTGGTCGCGGACGAGGAGGCGGGCGCGGCGGCTACGGTGAGTTGGTGATGGTGTCCCCGGTGCCACCACTCGCCACCTACCGCTACGCGCCCTACTCCCTGCCTGCCGCCGCCGCCGCCGCTGCCGCGTCCAGTCAGTTGCCGCTGACCAGCCTGCCGCAGGTGACGCCCGCGTCCCTCGGCGGCCTGGCCTCGGTGGGCGCGGCCGCGGCCGCAGCGAGCGGTATGGTGTCGGGCCACTTGGCCACGGGCCTGCCTGGCTACGGCGCCATGTACGGGTTGGACGCGGGCGTGGGCGCCGCCAACGCTATGGACATGAGCGGCTGCAAGCGAGTGGCGTTCACCACGCAGCCGGCCACCACCACCACCACTAACTCTCTGGGCTACTCCGTGTCCAACCTGCTGGGCATGCAAGGCCTTACTGTGCCCACCTACCCGATCCCCGTGGGCCTGTGAGCGCCCACGCCCACGTCCGCCCGCGCCCGGGCCCCGGGGCGCCGCGGACCCTGGGAGTAGGCGCACAAGCAGCAGCAGCAGAACCATCTCCAGCAGCCGCCACGGCCAACGGGGCCCCCCAGCAATAATGATGATCGGCCGGGGGGGGCGAGCTGCACCGTGGCCGCCCGCGGGCAGGCCGCCGTGCAGGCCGCCCTCTCCCCCACCCTGTAGCGTGTAGCCTACCATAGCTGCCGAGCCAAGCTTGCGTGCGACCCAAACTTTACTTGGCTGGTGACCGCGCGGCCCCGGGTCAGGCCCCGCCCGCCCGGGTCAGGCCCCGCCCTCCCGGGTCAGGCCCCGCCCTCTTGGGGCCGCCCTCCCGGGGCCGCGCGGGGCGTCACGACATTCACTCTTTAGGCGGGGCTGGGACGGTCATGACCTCCTTCACTTTGTCGGGCTGTGAACTGTGCAAGGGTCCCCTGGGCACCTCACCAGGCTCTCCCCCCTCCCCCCGCGGTATTGGTACCTGTCAGGCCAAAGATTACACCAAATAAATAGTGTAGGTGATCGCGCCCACCCATGGTCACAGCCGTGTACACAGCTTATGTTGCCCTAGTGTTGTATACATCATTATCTTAGTTTTTTTCTAGTCACCGCTTATCACCTTTTTTATTTTTTCTTTGCTAGTCTTCATAAATAACATTATTCAGTATTGCGTAGTTTCCCGTACTAACCAAGTAAAGTTTGAATTGCACACGAGTTGGTGTTGAGGAGAGAAGTCTCTTTATTGTATTGTTGCCACCCATCGCATGTCGGGAGCGCCTGGTTCTACTTTGGACCTTCTGCTACAAGGCCGTAAGGGCTAAGGTCCTCCCGGCGACTTACTTCACGTGGCAATGTTTATAATTACCTTATATGGGAAGGCTGGACGTTGTTCTCTACCTTTTTTTTTTCTTTTTTTTTTCTTTTTGTTCTTTAAAAAAGGTCGTTGCTATGTGGTTGAACTACCCAACTCTACCCACCTGGGTCAGGATGTCTTAGGGCTTTCTCTGTATTAGTTTTTTGTGCAAGTAAATAATGACAGCGTATATTATTCAAATGATTTCCAATATTATTATTCACTTCTTTCCAATGTCTATGCAATACTTATGAAAGGTTAAATATTCACTTTAATGTCAAGCTTAGATGTCTTGTCTTCCCTTCGTTGTCAAGTGCAGTGGTGAAGTTCTTGTGAAGTACATCATACTTAAGTGATAAGAAGCAATGCTACTATAATAATAATAATGAAGTGATACTGCTGTATTGATGTAAATAGGTTATAGCGCTGTTCTGCTCTCCTGTCTCATACGGGGTACTGGCAATAACCACGGCCTAAGTCGATGCTTGTACCGGGGTCCAAGTGCGGGCCGAACCACCGAACCCCCGGCTCCTCACGGACTTAGCCCCAACTTGCCCCAACTTTGATCTTTATATATGTATATGTATATATATATATGTATATATGTATATGTATATATGTATATGTATATATGTATATATATATATGTATATGTATATATGTATGATTATATACTATATATGCACACTCGCACACATACACATGAACACACATACATATGTATTTGTGTATGATATATATATATAAATGTATATGTATATATGTGTATATATATATATATATATATATATATATATATATATATATATATATATATATATATGCATATGTATATATGTATGTATGTATACATGTGTGTGTGTTTGTATGTATGTTTATATATATATTATATATGTATATATATGCATATAGATATATAAAAAGAATGTGTATGTATATATGTATACCTGCGCGCACGGTAGAGGTACTTAATGAACTCAGCCCCGGAAGGTGGCGGCTCGCACATGGCCCCTGGTACTCACCCCTACTTACGCCTCTGGTACTTCATATTACGCCATGTACTTACGTGGACCAAGTGACTTACGTAAGAGTACAGTACTTACTAGGCCACAGTACTTACGTAGCCACTTACATGTGCTGCATAAAAAGGTTTGGATACCAGTATAGGAGACTCGTATAATTTTACCTGCGTACACTTAACCCCTTAAGTGGTCAAAGGGAGAGGGATTTGAAAAAAAAAACAAAAAAAAAAACAAAAAAAAAAACAAAAAAAAAACCTTCGAAGGCTGGTGTCTGGCCGTGCAAGGAACAATCTCCTCCCAGGTCACATCAAGGTGTTAACATGGTGATAGTGTATGATAGTGTGAACATATTTCATGCTGTGTTGCAGATGTTTTTTTTTCTGTACACTCACATTGTCTTCTATATGTTGTTGTTTTTCTTTTCTATTTTTTTTTTTAATTCTTCTTTTTCTTGTTCCTCTTTATTATTTTTTATTTCCTCTCTTAATTACTTTTTATTATTATTATTTATTTTGTGTTTCGCTTGGCTATATAACCGCGCCCCCCTCCATAGTTGTAACGCAGATGTAGAGGATGATTGTAGAATAGCGAACGCTCTGTATATTTACCCAAACTTGTGGTGATTTCACTTCCACGTCTTTTTGATTTTGTTTGGAGACTATTTTTCTTGACATACTGTAGGTAAGGGCGGCGCCTATGCCCTTCACTACTACTATTGTATTATTGAGGAGTCTGTAGTTAGAGATAATATATTACAAGTGTCCTTTGAAGCGTATAAACATTTTTATCGTAGTTTTTAATATGAATTTTGAGTATATATGACAAAAAAAAAATAATACAAGACAGAGTAATTAATGACGAGTAGAATTTTGAGCATCAAAAGCGACCGGCTTCATCCCTCGAGAAGAGCTAAAGAATTAAAAAAAAAAAAAAGTAATATGGTTTCTGGCATAATATAGGAAAAGCTGAAGATCACTTTAATCCATGTTCTATCAGGGACAACCTCTCAGGCACTTAATTTACGTATTTAGAGCACGTTCAAAGTATTTTATAGGTTTTTGATTTTTTTTTTTTATTATTGTTTTTTTTTTGGACGCAAAATAAAATTCGCAATAGAAACCGTGGATTTGAAGAGAGAAAAAAAAACAACAACTCAAAAACTTTAAACCAAAAAATATAAAATGTATTAAAAAAAATCAAATAAAATTCCTTTTTTGCTTTCTTAGAAACTATTTATATTGTTTATATATTTTTTTTCTGGCGAGCAAGGCAATCCAATAGCATATATATATAGCTATATATATCTATTAAAAGTAAAGTCTAACCATGCGATCAAACTCTGAAAATCAAACCAAATATCATCCGATTCCAAAGATAATATATATTTTTTTTTCTCAAACTTTTTTTTTTCTTACTAACTTTGTAAAGAGAGAAGGTATTCTGGCATCAAAAACGTCTATGTAAGGACAAGGTTTCTATTGTTAATTTGAGTCAGGCAACCAACGGTAAGATGAAGCTAGAGCTCTGGGTATCAAATATATATATATAAGAAAATAATATCAAAGTAATCTCAAACCAAACAATAACAGCAGACAATTAAAAAAACAAACAGACAAACAAACACGAACACGTAGGTGATCATCACATCGACTCTTGATATCAAACAATACAAACAAAGATAGAAAGAAAATGAAATAAATGAATACAAATTAAAAAAAAACAAAAAAAGCTATAAACTAATCCAGTTTAGTCCCCCCCTTTAATAGCATGATTTTTAGAGGCGCACAGAAAACGGTCCAATCGTTTAGCTCAAACCAAGCCAAGGGGAAGGGGAGAGGGAGGGTTGAGCATACTTTCATCGTCTTAGATCAGATATTTTATACTTTTATACAGACTAGATAATTGATCTTTAGGGGACTTAGGAGGCACACCGTAATGCTTCTTTTGTAAGAATGATTATTTTTGATTTTTTTTTGTTTTTTTTTTTTAGTATAAATAATTTTTTTGTTTTTTTGGTGGAAATTTTTTTGTTTTTTGATTTTTGGTTTTTTGGTTTTTTGGACTTTCTTAAACCTGGTAGAAATACTGTGTCATTGATAGTTGCCAATCAGTGTATGGTCGGAAGAGACGTTTTTCATTTTCATGCTAGGAGAATCTATAGTTTTTTTTCCGTCTTGAAAATTTTTTGGAAATATATTTTTTCTTCCTTTTTGGCAGTTTGTGAGTAATAATGATTAATTCACGTTCACGGAGGAAATGCGGGAGTGAGAGAGAGAGAGAAAGAGAGATAGGAGTAGGTGACGAGGCTTAATTCAACGGATTTTGCAACATAGCACGGGTTACAAAACATATATCTATATATCTATATCCATATATCTATATATACACACAGTACACACGCGCTGTGTTGGAAGGCAAAGTTTCTGCTCAATTTTTCAAGCTGAAAAACACGTCGTTTCATAGATTCAGAAGATGATTGAAGAGGAGACCAAATCCTCTTTATTTTTTTCAATTAAATAGGTTTAGACACGTAAGACTCGAGGCCTCCTATGTCTACGTAACCGTTTTTCTTAGAGTTCCTAACAATGATCCCAAATCTGAGTTTACGTTAAACATAGTTTACATACATTTAAAAGATAGTTTAACTGTTACATATCGCGTTTCAAGGAGTGCTTCAGTGTGCACACATTTTTGTAATACAGTAGCAGTCGGCGCACAGAGGTATTATTAATGAGATAGAGGTGAGTTACCTTACAATAGATAAATACATAAATAAATAAATACATAAAAATAATAAATGAAGATAATCCAGGAAAAAATATATATATACTTTTTTACATTAGGTTTTTTTTTTCTTCTTTTTTCTTTTTTTTTCTTTTTTTTTTCTCGGTCAGTTTTCGGTTTTGGTTCGGTACGGTAATATGCAACGCCGGCCAGGAGATGCTAGAGTTTCACGAAAATAGATTGTAATTGAGCTAGTATAGTTCTAGGTTTTAAGAATGATCATGCTATACAGATCTAGCCAGCAGAGGGTCAGTCTATCTATCTATATATTCGTATATAGAAGTGCTATATATATCAAAACAAAGAAACAGACGCGCGCGATTCACGATACACGCCTGTTCCAAAAAACAAAAAAATACAATACATAAAAAAACTAAAAAAAAAAAAAAGAATGAAAAAACGGAGAGAAAGTTAGCGAAGAGTTTATTTAGCGAACCAAGAAAGACGTAGCAAACCCGTGCCTGCTGATTACCAATTTACTACAATTTATTGTATTTCGTCACTGTACGACATGGGGTCCATTTGTATTTTTCCTGCAGTTGTAGAGGATTTTAGCTGTGAATATCATTACTGTGGTTTTATAGCTATGGAGCGCGGGGCTGCGTTTGTCTACTGCGTATGGAAGACAATGACAACCCACTTACAAGGCTTTTTCAGGAATGGCCTATGTGATTTTAGTACTTAATTGGTACCAAATGACAGGGTTTTTGGTTATCATAAAATTCCATTAAAGAGGCCTTTAAATCTTTTAGTAATGTCATGTGCCAATGATAGTATATATACTAGTTTACCATAGGCATCAAGCCTTGTATTATAATTGTTGATAGAATAAACAAAATTTTGAACGTACCTTTACTGTTTGTCTTTATCTAGTTCTAGCCCCTTTCTAGAGTAGTTATAGCTAGTAGAGCCGATAGAGATCTTTTAGAAAACAGTAGAGACATCAGATAATCATATATCTTCTTTCCCTGAAGATGAAAGAATGACTAGACAACAAAAAAAAAGATAAAAAAAAAAATACAAACAAACAAACCAACAAAAAAAAAGATGTCGCTCGAGAACTTTTCCTCTTTTTTTGTTGTGCTTCATTTCATTACATGGACAGAATAACCCAGGTGTCCTGATCTCGTAGGCGGCTATGAGCACATATATCTGTACCTCTGTATGTTCCTCTCTATTCCGCTGTACCCCTCCATAGCCAGGCACACATACTGGCGTACCTGCGGGGCCGACTATGAACGTGAAGAGATCAGAAACCTCAAAGCATCTAGTGTCTGGCCGGCCCAGTACACTATAAGTCTAATTCTCAAATCTGATTGGCTGGTGAGCGGCATGGCAAGCTTGGCACGGCTCCCAGTGACCAATAGCGGGTCTATAGCATATTCCTTAGTGATAATTTGTTTTTTTACTCGTCCCTGTTGGACTCTTAGTAAAATAATTCAATCTTGGAGTTCTCATGTGTTTCTCCAAAGTGTGGGCTACTCCTAAATACAATTAGAATCAATCATTTGGGGATCCAAACCTTTTTGTGTCCAGTTTCCAATTGCAGTCATAATTGTCAACTCATATTGAATGCCTTCATGACAAGGTGTCTGATCTAGTTCTTTTTCTCTTTCCTCTCAAATGTTCTAGATCTAGTTTGGTCGCTGGGAGCTCTCCCTGATGGTATGTATTTCTTCTTGTTACTATGCTAGCCACCCGGGGTAGCCTACACAAGGTTAGCCCCCTCAGACTTGCTACACCTCCGTCACCAGTTCCGAGTCTATCCTAGATAATGCTGCTCACTTAGAAAAAAAAAATATAGTAAAAAAAGTAATAGTAGATCATATATAAAAAAAAAATGTATACAGACGTACCCAAAAGATATATATATACAAAGACCTATCCAATGATAATAAATTCATTAGTAATAATCACCCTTACAAATCATAATCATAGTAAAAAAAAAAAAAAAAAAAAAAAAAAAAAATCCAGCGAGCACCAGCTCTTGTCAGCCGAGAGCGGCGGACGGAAACAGTGACGCGAAGGAGAACTCAGTAGGTGGAGCAAGCGGAGCACGCGTGGAGGCCCAGACGATCCACGGGTGTTCCCTCCTGGTGGGGGCCTCAGCGCCTCGTGTAGGCTCCCCCGGCGTGAGTCCCGCCACCCCTCGAGCCTGTCCCGTAGCATCTTCCACACCGCCCCTCGCTGGCTACCACCATTACTACTACTACTACTACCACACTCACAAAGTCATAGTAAAAAAAAAAGGGGGCTTGCAAAAACCTACTCTTAGCGGCTCCCTCCTCCTCCAGGGGAGGCGGCCGAGCGAGCGGGGGCCGCCACCTGCCGCGCTGTAGTGTTGGGGCAGGTGGATAGGTCGCCTGTCACTGTAGTACCTGGATAATGTAGTTCACCTGTCACTGTAGTACCCGCTGAACCAGTTGAATTACTTGTCACTGTGTAGTTTCATAGACAAGTGGATCACCTGTTATGTACTGTAGCTGGTGGACCGAGTGGACCACCTGTCTGTGTAGTAGCTGGGTGGCTGGGCTGCCAGTCATTCCACCGTAGCAAGTGGAGTATCTTTCAGAGTAGTACCTGGATAAGAGGGGCCACGGGTCACTTGGGCTTCCCTGGCTACAAGTGACCTGCTGACGTGGATCACAGAAGTAGTACACAAACATTGGAACACATTTTTTTTCGTTATTTGAATTTTTGATTCTCCCTTCTCCCCCTGTCGCTTGTTTACACACTTCTTCAGCCATATTTTAAGAAATATATATATTTTTTGAATGTGTAGTACTTGGATATGTGTTCCACTTGTCGGTGTAGTATTTGAAGCATTGTTCCACGAGCTACGATGAACTGTTCCTCTTGTTCCCGTAGTACTAGGTTAAGTATTCCAGTTGTGTAGTTACCAGGCAGTAGTTCCAGTATTTCGTCTGTCAGTGGTGTACTTAGACGGTTCCACTTGCGTAGTGTAGTCGCTGGACAAGTATTCCTCTAGTCAGTGTATTACGTAGACAAGTGGCTGCTGATCAGTATCTTATCCGCGTCCCCATCTGTCAGTGTTACCGGGCACTGTTCCATCTGCCACACACCCCCCCGAGGCGCCCAGAAGTCACTGTGATGGCTGATATGAAGAAAAAAGAAAGAAAGAAAAGAAGAAAAAAATGCATATATTCATAAATCAGTGGAACAGAGAGTGCAAAAAAAGAAATAAAAAAGGCTGAAACTTGAGCTCAGCCTGTTGAGAGTACATAAAGTATGTTATGAGGAAAATATTAAAACGAAGAATGAATAACCTTTGTTCACAACAGATATATGCAAATGTGGTTATGAACAACAATGGCAAAATGCAAGACATTTTTTTGCAAAAGGCTGCTGGCAAAAGAATGAAAAAGAAAAAAAAAATATCGCAAATACTGATATGTGACTTTCTTATATTTTAATCGAAAGGAAGATTTATACGTCAATTGCCTTCCACATTGTATGTACGAAAAAGTCTGGATCCATAACCAAAAAAAAACGAGATAATATTTTTGTTCTATAAACTCTTGGGTTTGTTCTCTGAGAGGTTGAAATTGTTATTAGAAATATGTTGAAGATGAGTTTAAATGTGTGTCAAGGTGTCCCTCGCTTGTGTCAACTATGCTATGAAATGAATCACTTAAGTTTCTTTTTTATACAGAGGGTTTGCATTTCTTGACAAGAGTTAATCACAAGCACATATTTCCTAAGGTGAAATATACCCCTCCCTATTAATTTCACAAAAAACAAAAACAGAAAAAGATATGAAAATAATGATCATTAAAAACACACTTCAGACATTCAGTATGAGACCTGAGTCAACATATAATTAATTTAATTTTAGGCTAAGATGCCAATATTTGAATAACACAAAAAAAGGAAAACAAACAAATTCTTATATGATATAAAATACATGTCTTGAAGTATTCCTGAGAATCACAGAAAGCACTTTATCCCAATAATCCAGACAAATAACATATGTGGACTTTTTATTTATATATATAAGAAAACAGTGACAAAAAAACATGCATATTCTGGAAGACATACACACAAACAAATGGTCAGCGAAGGGCGGTATTTTTTGCAATTTTTGAAAGGGGGGATTTATAAATCTCACATACAGATCCCCCCCGAAAAAAAAAATCAAATTAAAGTCACGCTTCCTATTTTTTCTTGTCAAAAAAGAAGAAAAAAATGAAGCCATCGCATTTTGAGCACACTTTATAACACTTGATAATAGTAGCCACCTTTAACTGGTTTTGAATCCCCTCCCCCCCCTTTTTGCATTGCCTGATAATGTTAATCAATAAATAATAAGATCAAGAGACAGGTTCGAGTGTGGCTGGTATAATATTTTTTAATTCTCACTATACCTCAGGCACCAGCTTGGGACGAATACAATACAGTCCATCCAGTTAACTGTCAAAACAATAAGGAGGGCGTTAAAACCGTTACTCTTTTAAACTTTTGAAATATCACATGTTCATTGGTTCCAAATTCAGGGAAAGTAAAATAATGTTCATCACAATAATCAAAGAAACTCCCAACAACAACTATGTATTATTGTTGTTCTTGTATTTTTTTCTCTCTGTAGTTGTGTGATATATATTTTTGTTTTGCTACCTAAGTGGACAGATTCTAGAAAATTCTCTCGTGTCCTGCCCTTAGTTGGACAAGTAGTTTGTACTAGTCACGGGTTGTTGCCAGAGGTATATCTTATAGAATTTTTTGAGCTTTGTTATATGCCAAAACAACTTAGAGTTTCTTTTTTTACGTAAACGCAGTACGAAGCTAATTAAAATATATATATATCTGATTTAGGATTGTTACTGCATGTGTCCAGTGCCATTAGTTTTAATCTAAAAGTAGGATTTAGAACCAAATCTGTTTCGCATAGTTTTTAATCTCTTTTTTTCACTTCCTTAAAAATATACGTACATAAATGTTCCTTTTTAGAAGAAGAAAAAAATCGTACTCTTATTTATATACATCTAATTTTTTTGAACTAAGAATTTCACAATAATGACCACCACAAGAGCACTGAATCTAGCTTTAGCATATCAAGATAGGAAGAGAAAATTAAGCCTTAAGTTACCTATCATGCCTTTATATTGACCTCTTGTTTGTTTATAAAATCTTGAGTAACACCCCCTCCTATTCCCGTTTTCTTTGCAGGTATCCAGGCAGCCGCTTACGCCGCCTATGCAGGTCGTGGTTATGCCAGTTACCCGAGCTTTGGGTTTCCTTATCCAGCAGGTAATTTAAACACCGGTATAGCAGCGCTGTGTGTTCCCCACCCGGTCGATTTGGGTCTATATAACCTGCATGCCTTGCAGTTGTAACTCGCTCTGCAAATGGGGATGGCTTTTAACCTTCCAAATTGTTGTTCATTGTCAAAACTCCTCTTTCAAAACCAAGAAATATATTTGTAATGTATGACTCCCTCTCATTTTTTTCTTTTTTCAAGGGAATCGACTCAGCAGGCCATATATTTCCGGCGAGTCTTTTGAATGCATTTATATGAATATATATATATCTATTTTTCCCTCTTCCAGACCATCCAGTTTTTGGATTGTTTGATTTGCAAATAATATGTGACTATTTTTTTTTTTTTTTGGACTGTTCCGTCTTTTTTTTCGAATGCCGTCACCCAATTGTTGAGTTTACGAGCATAGGATCTACATTTACAAAGTTTTGAAGGAAACAATTTACTAAAAAAAAACAAACCAAAAAAAAAAAACAGACATAGCAACTTGATACTATTTTCCAATAGCCCCCAACCAATATTTATACCAAAGAAAAGAAAAAGGCGTTCTGAAAAGACGCATTTAACACCATCATTTTGGCTTTGATGCATGATCTATTTTCTTGACCTTAGAGCAACAAAGGCAAGTTTTAACACCCCGCAGCTGCGTGTAGGCAGGAGTACATGTATTGTATCCTAGGGTTGTAGGCCTTGTGTGGTTTTCCTGGCGTAGGCTGCTATGAGTTTGGGCAAATGACCGTAGCTTCGTATTTGTATAACAGTCGATAGAATAATTGTTTTTTTTTATATATATACATTGTTGTTTTTTTTCTATTTTTTTTATTTATGAGTTTTATTTTTGTTTATGTACTCTTTTTTTTTTACTTGTTTTCTTTGCTAATTAACCCCTTCGGCGATATGGGAACGGATCCAGATGTTGAAAGATAGTAAGAAATATTTAAAAAATGATATACAAAAATGCCATTAGGTTGGATATCTTTTCAATGACTAACAATTTTGACGACCTTTTTTGTTTGTTTGGTTAACCTGCTTAATCATTGAAAAGGTACCCAATTAGGCCAACTTTTTAGACAAGCATTTCGAGTCCTTGTAGTTGTTGTTTTTTTGTGTTTTTGTTTTTTGTTTAGAAAATTTTGATCTGAAAAGACAAAAATGTTTTAAAGAAATGAACACCTCAAAAAGAAGAACTCTCTTTAGGGAATTAATTAATCCAACAATAAAAAAGAGATCTATGTCTACAAAAAAAAAAAAAATACAAACCATGTCATCCACAAAAAAAAAAAGAATTATAAGAGGAAGTGTATACATTTGTATGAATCACAACCACTCCGCCATATCGTCGTACCGGTGTTGTCAGGAGTGAGATGCCAAGTGGCCCCCCCACCGGCCCTCCCCTACCTCCCAGGGGGCACTCACTATCAGTAGCAGTGTGTTGGTAGTTGTAGCAGCAAGATAGTTTACGGAGTGACCTCTCGTCTTATAAGGAGTTGAAGCTCAGGTGCCTTCTCTCTGTCTCATCTTCAAGGTACATAGATACAAAATTCGTAGTTTTCTTTTTTTTTTTGTTTTGTTTTTGTTTTTTTTTTGGATTGCAGTGGAGTACCATGTTCTATTTTGTCCTGATTCAGTACTCATTGTTTGTCAATTCTTCTCCTTTCACAAACTCTCTTCTCTCTTTGCTACGATGAGTGTAGATATGTGGCAAGATTTTTTTTTCCTCTTTTTTTTTGACTTTCATATCTATATATTTCTAATGAATGTGATATCAAAAGTTAGTGAAATATATATATATCAAAGCTTAACACAAGGTGTAGGTCACCATTTTGATTTTCTCTTGTTTCTTTTCCCAGGGATTGTTGGAATTTTGCCTGATGGCAAGTTTCCTTTGGGAGAATATATCGGGTTGAATCCGGCTTTAAACCTGGTTGGGCACACCTGAACCCGGCCCGCTCTAGGCCTGGCAAGCCGAAACTCTCATGCCTTGTATATAGCCTATGGACCCTATAGTGCTACCTGTGGCGCCCTTCTCACCTCTCGCCGTTCAGAACTGATTTCTTCTGTGATTATTGTTAGCATTTAACGAACAAACATATAAAAGACTCGACAAAAAAAAAAAATACAAAAAGACCAAAACCAAACCAACAAACATAACCCCAAAAAATAATGATATCTTTAACCAAAAAAAAAAAGCAAAAAAAAAAAAAAAGATAAATACTGAGGCCCCCCTTTCCCCCCTTATTTGGAAATTTGATGGTTTTGACATGGTGATAAGATAAGAATTTAAAAAAACAAACAAACAAACTTCCACCTCCCTGTCTGAAGGAATCCAAGCACTAGTTAAGAAAGGGTTAAGCTACTTCTTGAGGGACACTTCCTATTCAATCTTGTTGCTGCAACTTTGTGTACATAGACCTATCTAATTAAGACAGTAAAGGTTATTAAAGAGATACACCTGTAAAGAAGAGGTGTGTGTGTGTGGGCCCGCTTTGTTCTGGCCTACACGGGAGAGTTCACAGGACAATTATAATGATATCACAATAATAACAATGATGATGATGATGATAATATCACAACTCGATTCTTTGTCATTTTCACGTCGTCGCCCTCGAAGGGAATTTTTTTCTTCTTCTCTTTTGTTCTATTTTGAAGACGACGGAAGATTCTACAGTCCCCCTTTTTATATATTTTTTTTTATCTTACCTTATTTTTTACTATTAACTCTAGGTTTATCTGGGGGGTAAATGGAAAAGAGAAAAAAAGGAGTTTTTTTTTTTTACTATATTTTGTTGGGGGGGGGACATGAAGGAAAGACGTTGACAAATTTTACGGCTAAGATCTGATACCATCCCAATTTTCAGGATCCATCCACTTGCAGGACACCCTTCCTGCAATGCTTTATTTAAGTCACTTAACCTTAGCTATATGAAGGAGAGGGAGCTGATTCTCAAAAGAACCCTTAAGTGTCGGCATTTCCAGGACTGATGCAACCATCGACTAATTTTTTTGTGTGTGTGTATGTGTCCCTTTCAGTATGATTATTATACTTGGATATATACGTAGACGTGATTTTACATACACGTGTATGTATATATATATAAAAGTTTCTCAACAGCTTTCATGCCAAATCGAATTCTGAAACAACGAAGAAAGGACAAATCCATGTCGCTTGTTTTCATTGAATGAGGCGGAGATGGTTAAGCTCTTGTGTTCCGGAGATGCATTGTTTGTCGTCTACTTTTGGGAGATGAGCTGGAGGCGTGAGCATCGGGGCATTACTGGCGATAAGCTTTTTGTTTTGTGTTGTTTTGAGTTGGTCAATGCTGGACGTGTTTTTTTTTTAATGATATTTGTTTGGCATCATTGCAAGGGTGAGAAAGTGTTTTTTGTCTGTTTTTTTTTTCAGTTCTTTAACTGTCTTTCTCTTTCTCTCTCCGCTTCTCCCTCCTTCCCCCCCTCCACCCTCTCGCTCTCCCTCTCTCTCTCCCTATCCCTCTCCCTCTCCCTCTCCCTCTCCCCCTCTTTCCCTTTCCTCTCTCTTCTTCCCTCCCCCTTTCCTCTCTCTTCTTCCCTCCCCCTTTCCTCTCTTCCTCTCCCTCTCTCCCCTTCCCTCTATCTTCTTCCCTTTCCATTCATTTGCGTGTTCCAGCCTTTCACATGTCCGCACAGCATCCTTAGGACTTCAAAGAGCTTATCTAAAGTCGTGACTCGCTGTTCTCGGTTTTCAGTTTTGTTTAAGATATCAATTAAATACGAAGTCGGACTCGAGCATTTCGGACGCCGGCGAAGATGTCGGACTCTCGGACTTTTTGAAAAATTTCTTTGGGAGATTTGATTGTTATTATTTTGTTTTATTTCATTTTTTTTGTGTGTGTTTTTTTTTTGTCTCTCTTTAAGAAGTCGTCGAGAGTGAAGAGCCTTTTTTTATATGGAGGTTCTGTTCTTCCTCTATATTATTATCATTATTTTATTTATTGGTTTGTTTACTTCATTTTTTTTCATTCATTTATATTTGATTGATGGCTCTTCCCCCGGCTTATCGACTTTTGTGGCTATGACCTTTGACCCCTACCCAGTGACTCCAGGCACGAGTACCCGGCGTCCGGAAGTCGGGTCAGCTCGGGTCAAGACGCGTTCATTCATTTCCTTGAGGCTGGGCGAAGGTCACACGAGACTCGGCCGTTGTGTTTACACCTTCCCTCATTTTTTTTAAACTTGTTTTTTTCCTCCCCCATTTTACTCCCCCTCCCCTTTTCTCTCTCTTGGCACCTTCAACCGCCAGCAGCCCCCCCGGCCAGCCTCCGGGCCCCGTAACTTTTCGAAAAAAGGAGGGAACTCTCGACTCCTCTGTCACCAGAAACTCGCGAAATGGCATTTAAATGAGATGCCGCGTCCCCAGCGAGCGTGTGAAGACCCTGAGGGGAAGGTGGAAGGCGGCGGGCGAGTCTCGGTGGCACTGCGACGTGAGAGTCCAGTGGTGTTTTCTTATTTCTGTGATGAACATGTATTAGGTCGTTTTGGAGTGCCTTGACTGTTGGAGGGTACGGCTTGGCCAAGGCTCGGAGGCACGCGAGGAACATGATTTTTTTTTTTTTTTTGCCTTTTTTTTCTCTTTTTTGGAAAGATTTTTTAAAGCGAGGGGATTGTGCCATGTAGGCTTACTGAGGTGGAGGTTGCAGCGATGTATTTTTTTTTCTTCTTCTTTTTATTAATTATCTTACATGTGCCCGGATTTGGTGATGATTGCAAATTGCAAGTTATTTCTAGGCTTTTTTTTTTTTTTTTTTTGAGTTTCACGTTGCATTTTAATTACGTGCGGTCATTTGTTTGTTCTCTTGTTTTCTGGCTTTGTCGTAAACAGCTATTGTAACTTGATTAAGTTGAGCATTAGCCGCTACGGGCTTTTGGCTTTGCTTTTTATTTGCTGGAAATGTGCTACACATGATGGCAGTTTTTTTTGTTTTTTTTTGCTGTATTTCGTTTTATCTCTTTT